GTTTTTTTTTGCTTGGGTGTTTTTTTTGTGGGGGGGGGGGGGGGGTGAAGCGCTCTTGGTTGAAAAGCTAGGCTTGTAACTTACGGTATCGTATGTGGCAAATGACTTGCTTCATTGCACATTCGTATTCTGGTTGGCCGCACGGTTAATTCTCCATACCTGATTGGATTATAAAAGATGGAAACAATGAGACTTCTATACAGTGACCCGATAATTCTAGTCGACTAACTGAACCGAACATCATGAAATACGTTTCTGATTTTCAGGTAGCAAGAATCGGTAGAAATTTATCTCCACGTCACCTTCGCAGTAAACCTAAAGTGGAAGAATGCGCTTGAATATTATATCACCATCTATGTTCATTCCTTCAGAGTGTCATCCTTCTAAAACAACCCTTTTCAAATGACCTCTTTATATGTTGCATTATAGGAGTTTTTCTATAAAACGTGCGTCTAGGCTAAGCGCAGTTCTAGTTTTTCTCCGTCAACTAAGCAGAAGCCGACTGCCATAATCATTTAATGATAGACACTCGTATTTCTTGCCGGTTCTGTGTGAACATCAGAACGTGGAGGTGTTTAGAGGCTTGCTATGGACCACACGCGAGCTCCATCCGAGCAGTATCGGCCAATCAGACAAGCATTTCAGTTCGGCGTACGATTGCGGATATCGATGTCAGCCTAGCTCAGATGGGATTTTGACCAATAGACTGGCTTTTTTTGGCCTTGTGTCAACATTTTACCTGCCTGTTGTGGATCTCATGATAAGCGTATGCTAGAACGATGCCACACCTGTTGACATAGAGGCTACCCGTTCACATCGTTTTAAGGCCGATGGTACTCCGAATTCCGTTCATCGTATGTTGTAGTTTAGTCTCTCAACTTGTCTCTTTTTTGACAGCTGTTTCATAGGCCGCTCACCAAAATAAAATTCCATTGACTGGCGTAACTCTGTGCCATAATTTGTCGGACGAGACCAGGTTCCATTCTTCAGATTTTTTTGAATAAAGGAACAACAGGTTTTAACGCGAAACATGTTCCACTTGTCACGAAAGAAAGAAAGCGTTCAGCTGTAGCACCCTTTCGATGCCTAGCTGCCATGCCACTCGAAGGAAGCACGAGGGCTGGGATATTGCCAGGTTGCCCAAGCCTAGACAGGGGAAGTCGAGTGGCGGAGGTCGGATTCGAACCGCGGACCTTCCGGTCAGTAAATTCGCGCTCTTACCACTTGGGCCATCTCGCCCCACTTGTCACGAGCAATTCTCTAGATATCCCGTGCTATTGTAACCTGTACATACTCTGAAAACGACATCTGGTACTATCTTAATCGAAATCTACGCATAAACAATTTGTCTTTACTTACCAGAAGGCTTCATTTATCAGGTTTTCTTTTTTGTTGCTGTGGGCACTCTAGCTTTTATGCTAATCTCTCTACCCCCCATCCATCCATCCATCCAGTTCCAAAGTCACCAGATTTTCCACGTGTTTGTCGTTGTCGCCGCCTTCGTTCATCATCACGGACTGGCAAAACTGGCTGACTATCGTCTGACAATCGGTGACTGTCAACCCACACCCGGCGACTTGCAGGGTATTCCAGCATCCCAGTGGCAGTCCGTTCATATAGAGTTCCTGAAACCTTTTATTCGTCCCTCATCATGATGCGCAATAGCTGATGGTTTTTCTCTACTTTGTCGCTTTGCACAATGATTTGCATTTCCTTTTATCGAGTGCTTTCAATCCAGATCTGATGACCTTACTCACACTAGCACTGATCTTCCTGGTTCCCACTTTTTCGCCAACGGATTTTGTTCATTTGTGTAACTTTGTTCGAAATGAAGTCAACTGTTGGGTAGCATCTGTCACAGGGAGTTACTGTGTTGCACACGTCACTTTAACAGTTGATACATTTTATTCACCTTTGTCGTTTTTTTCGACTGTATTCTGTTCTGGTGCATCTCGGTTCGGATTCTGATCTGTTGGTTACTCAGTTGGCTCCAGGATTGCTTGTGTGGTTTTTGTGTGCTGTATGCACGGTATAATTATGGTCGGATAGGATGGATTAGTCCAGTGTTCCCGTCAATATTCTATGTGACTTCCGGGAAACATTCCGGACTAAGCTGAGCTTGTCTGGATGTTACCAATGCTGTCGATCCCTGACTGGATTGCTTGTTGTCGTACTATGATCTCAGGTGGTAACAGCAATATGATTCTGTAGACTACCAGGAATCGTTACCAACTTTCGTCTACACTGAACCTCGACAGAGCTTTACTCTGGATCTTCAATTTCACGCCTACGTCTTTCTATTTTCCACATGTCACTGTATTCGTAAAGCAAGAAGATAATGGTTAATGGAGAGAGTCTTTGAAATCAGCCGTTCAAAGCTAAGTGAATCTACGCTGAATGGAATGGCCTGATTCCGACTATGTCGTAAGCATTCCCACATTTCATTACTCACATACATCGAAAGGTTTGGGGTGACCACTGAAACAATCCAACCCGCCAACCATGTTGTCTTGTTAACTAGACGAGACGTTCTGTTGTTGATCTCTATAGGGTCAACTGTGGCGAAAGGTTTTTGCTCACATTTCCCCGGGAAACACTACCTGCTAGTAATAGTGGAACACCAATAGATGTTTTAAGGATTACAGTGTACGTACCTTCGTCGGCCAAACTGAGTTTCGGACTCGGTTTACTCTAGTCAGCTCGTCCGCTTGTTTGACTATACGCCGCGGAACAAATCAACAACAACCATGTCTCATACGACAAGAGTGGTCACTCACTGACTGGCTTCGTTTCGATAAGAGGCCATATTTGCCAGGTCGACGCATTGCTACGCCACTAAAAGCTAGTGGCTGATATTGAGGCTTTTGCAACAAACTCGCCAAGCTCGGAAACAATTCACCCGTCAACTGTACGTAGCCATTTCCTGTTCACCGTTAGTTTTGTACCATACGTCCTCGGTTTGTTCGCTTTTCTACTCTTCAGCACTGCTCCCGAAAGCATGACTAGCAACCCTAAACGTGTGTCTGCGAGTCTGGCTTGAGAGTCAGTGGCGGTTTCTTTTCAGTGCTATTTTATGTTTATTTATGTTTATGCAGAATTGTGGCTTTGACTAGACAGTCAGTAATGTCTGAACCTCCGAAAACGCAGATTATCATGCGGTTTTCTAACTAGTAGTTCATGTTGGTATGGTAATATTGTTACTGTAATGTGACGCAGTGGTGCACGTCAGGGTTAGTTTCGTGTAGGNTAACTAGTAGTTCATGTTGGTATGGTAATATTGTTACTGTAATGTGACGCAGTGGTGCACGTCAGGGTTAGTTTCGGGTAGGGTAGCGACGCACCGGGCGTAACAACAAGACGATTTTTACGGTTTTAAATCGCTTGACTTCCCTTACAAACAAGGTGATAACTTAAATCCAGGAACGTCACTAACTGCGTGATATGGCCGTATCTGTCACTCACTACTTAGTGGGGTTCCATACGGAGAGACGGCTATTGCCAACACAACAATTTACTGATCATGGTTTCCTTGCCTGTTTCTGGGTCATACACTGAACACGGATAGTTTGCCTCCAGTTTGCGAGTGGGACCGCACTCAGAGCTTCTCGAGGAACTTCCTAACACTCCCTCTCTCCGTTTTTGGGTAAGCTTGCTTCACTACCACTGCGTACAGTCCAGAATCCATGTTTTGTGGCCCAATTACGAGGGCTGTGCACATTAATCCGCTAAACAGTTGTCGCTTTGCGACCGTAAAATAACACAGCTCAGCTGCATGTGTCGTTCGTGCCAAAACATTCTTTGGTCAGCAGTGAACCAGACGTGTTACTTTCCGGTTGTCTTTACTGTGTATGTTGACTTTAAACAGGCATGGACTTGGGCATCCATGTTACGCATTTTTGGCGAGCGAATCAGTCGGTACTCTTACCGATAAAAGGTGTCCGTCTTGGCTTCGTATCTGCGTCCTTTCAACCATATGCTGACACCATTTGCTTTGTCCAGCATCAGTGTTCCTACTTGAACCCATGGGACGAATACCGCTTGTACAGTTCGGTTCTAGGTCTTCGTACAACTCCGCGCTACTCAGCATGAACCATTATATCAAGACCACTCACCACCCATGAATTGACCTGGACAATACTCCCCACGGGGAAACCTTCACTATACCAAGTCTAGTCGACAGGACCCTTTCTCGTAGAGTGGAGGGCGAATAAGATTTTCATGCATCTGGTACATGTTTAACAAAAATCTCATCTGAAAGGTATGTTAGAACTTTTCACAGTGGCCGGCGTGAAATCCCATATGTTCACTGGCATTTTCACCTGTACTTATGGCATCGGCAGTGCTGATTCCTCCGAACCAGCGGCAGCCAGTGGTTATTTTTCCTATTTGTTCTAACTACTCATTAGTAGCGTGATTGGTACCTTTAAACTCCGTTTTGCCTCCCTGTTCGTTTTTCTGGGTTTTGCCCTCATTTAAAGTTTCCTTACCCTATCCGCCTGTCCGTCTTCGCTTGAAATTTCGCGTCAAACCCACCTGTTTTTGAGTGACTGATCTGACGGAAAAGGAGGTCGCCGGGTGGTCGAACTGGGATCTCGCGTGGCAGACGGTCGCTATATCCACTGCGGCAGTTCGACCCCCTGGCAGCCCTATTTTTGTAATACCTTTGTATTACATGTTACCTGAACGCGTATCCCAATTAGACACTTAACACGTCGCTATTTTGTCGCACTGTCAGCTGATGAGGTATACTTACTTTGTGCTTAATTCACCCGATACCCGTTTTCTTGATAGTTCCCGTTTCTTTTTGATTCCGAAATACCTCCTGAATGTAGCGACTGTCTTTTGCGCCGTTATCCACACCTATAGCCTGTCCACACTGTCTGACTGCCAGCATCTGTACGTTTGTACATTACTTGGCACTCACTCTTTGTTACTTCCAGAAAGCTCTGCTGTCTCACTGCCCCCTTTTGCCCCCACTGATTGCGCTACTGTTTATTAACTTATTTCTTCATAGAACCAATTCTCAGAAAACATATACTGTTCTCATCTGTTTGTTCCTACTGCCTAGTGAGTGCCAACTGTTGATAGTCCGGTATCTCCAATCGTCCTATAACATTCTTAGCCGCCAGAATGCTACAGGCGGGCTGTGGCGTCCGCCCGGTCACCTAAGCCATTACGCACGAGCAATTTTTGAGCTGTGTAGCTAGACTAAGGTAAGAATTACTGGTGGAGATAATTGTTTGGGAGGGACGTGCTTCGTAGAAATTAACTTGTCTTACTTTATGCGTTTGGTGGAAACAGTGACAAATTATGCTTAAAGTGGTACCACATCGTCGGAAAAGAACGTGATATGTTGGGTGTTGCCTCAACTGAAACAGGATGCGTCCTTTTGACGGCAGATTTGACTTAAGAATATCCTAAACAGGAGATTCAGCCGTGCTGTCGGGTTATTATTATCTTACTTTGCAAGTGAATGTTCAACTCCAACTACTGGAGCAAGTCATCCTCTCGCGAAGAGGGGGAACAATTGCATTAGTCAGTGTGTAAGTAGCTTGAGAAACATTATGTTATCAAGTTTTGCTGCCTTGATTTCGCATTGCAATCTTGTGCTGCGTTCCAACGAATATTCCCAAACTCATCTTCTGCGCCAGACTATTATTCAAACCAAATCTTGCTCAGTGACAAGGCACAACCATTGTGATGCTTCCTGTTTGGGGGTGAGAAAAAGCCATTTCCGGACCCCGGAGCGTTCTGGTCGGGAGAAAGAAGATTGGAGACGTTCTATCTCTCGGGGTCTTTACTGTTGTAAAACAGTACTGTGGTTGGGTTCATCCTCGACAGTTCTGGAGTTTGCAGGAGCGAGGATTGCTGCATGGAACAACTTATTTAGTATGAAGCTGTTTCCTGTTTCTCAGCCTTATTTTCTTGATTCTTCCTGACATAAAGCTGACCTAAAGATTGGCGCATCAGATTTACGAGCTTTGAAGGCCTGGAGACGTGGCGGTGATCGGGTAGAGTCTGCTCCTGGGTTGAGCTTCTTGCGTATATATTCCCCACTTCGTTATAAATAACTAGTCATTCTCCCGTAATTTGTTTGAACCTTATCACTTCGGTACATCATTTGTGTCTGCTTTCTTTTCAAGGCTGTTTCACCGAATGAACTCTGTACTTCAGACCGAATAAACAGTAGCATCTATTCAGTGGTTCCTAAAGACGTCGTCCTGGTACATGGCTATTAGCACTGAAGAGCGTTTATCCTCAGAACTGACCGGCCTCAGGCTCGTCGAACAACCAAACGAATCAGGTAACGTGACCGTCTAATTTTTATTCCTTTCCACAGTTTTCAACTCTATTCTTCATATCGATCATGAAAACAATATTCATTTTCGTCAGTATCGAAGTGAAGAGGACCTGCGACAGATAATGCCTCTAATTTCCAAGGATCTTTCCGAGCCCTACTCGATCTACACCTATCGGTATTTCATTTACAATTGGCCAAAATTATGCATATTGGTCAGTTCATATCCCAGCTTAAAACCAATCAGTCGATTGTAGGCGTTCCATGACGAAGAGTGCGTAGGAACCGTTGTTTGCAAGTTAGAGTGCTACACAAACAACGTGCTTCGTGGTTATATCGCTATGTTGGCTGTTAAGGATGGCTTTCGAAGAAAGGGCATTGGTAGGTCTTTAACTTTCATCGCAATCTTTTCTACGTTTACACTATTTCAGGATCTCGTCTCGTTCAGCTCGCTATTGATCTTATGATTGCGGACAGGTGCGATGAGGTAAGTACACGGGGCTATTGTCGTAATTTTCAATTGTCGGGTCCGACCTCTGATTGTGTCTGTATACTGACTGAACTGGTGTCATTCGACCATACCGTTGTAAAGGGCACACTTCATACCTAGAGTACTTTTCATCATACCGATATAGGTGTCCTTAACTTCGAACTGCTATTGATGAGCACGCCGCTAGCTCAAATTGTGCACATAACCTTTGGTTGATTTTCTAAACAAACAACGCAGTTGGGCCGCAACACAGTCAGACATTTTGTGCATATCTGTAAGGCTGTGATCTTCTTCAATCACAGGATTCCTGCACTACTACACAACACACCATCAGATTGCCTTGAGTCTACGTGGCTGACCCAAATGGATGTTACACTTTCCTGGAATTCACCTTTTTTGTTGAAGTCCTCTAAAGGCGTTGTGTGTAGTAAAGGGAATATGACTATTTGGCACTAAATCTATTTGCTAAGGTTGCAGTTAGTTTATACTCAGAATTCCTATGGCGACAGTCTTTAGCATCCTACGTTTTTTAGAGAAGGTACGTGTTCGACACCATTGTGCAGATGGTTCTCACACTGATGTTCTCATCCATATTAGCGGAAGAAATTTTTTGGAGGGGGGATAGGAGAGATAATAGGGTGGTATTTATTGGCGGGCATACTCTCTAATGACAGTACGTTGATTCGCACTTTTTGGTTGTTGAACAGAACAGATATTTTCTCCATACTTTGATACGTAGCCTAGACAAGACCGTTGTCCACGGCTTTGCTGTACTTTAACAGGCATTCCAAACTTCCGGAAGATGTTTACATGATAAAGTGGAGGATAGTGTTCCTTGTTCTTGATCGTAGTTATCTAAAGTTGGCTCTCTTTGGTGGGCCGCTTACAAATAAGTTCAAGGGCTCCTGGCGAACGAGATGCGCCCGAAGTTAGCCATAACTTCAACCGGAAAGCGTCCACGCCATTCAAATAGTACCGTAAAAGCCGTTTGTCTCGGCAAAATCCCAGCCGTTCGTACAAGGCAATGGCTGACTTATTCGTAATTTCTGTTTCCAGAGTAACCTGAAGGAGAGTTTCAGTGCAATCATGTAAATCAAGTATATATATATATATATATATATATATATATATATATATATATATATATATATATATATATATATATATATATATATATATATATATATATATATATATATATATATATATATATATATATATATATATATATATATATATATATATATATATATATATATATATATATATATATATATATATATATATATATATATATATATATATATATATATATATATATATATATATATATATATATATATATATATATATATATATATATATATATATATATATATATATATATATATATATATATATATATATATATATATATATATATATATATATATATATATATATATATATATATATATATATATATATATATATATATATATATATATATATATATATATATATATATATATATATATATATATATATATATACTTGATTTACATGATTGCACTGAAACTCTCCTTCAGGTTACTCTGGAAACAGAAATTACGAATAAGTCAGCCATTGCCTTGTACGAACGGCTGGGATTTTGCCGAGACAAACGGCTTTTACGGTACTATTTGAATGGCGTGGACGCTTTCCGGTTGAAGTTATGGCTAACTTCGGGCGCATCTCGTTCGCCAGGTTAATCGTGGGTCGATCAGAAGAAAGTGTAATCAAGCTCGGTTACGTTCTTCCGATCGATATATTATATTCATGTGACGGTTTCGCTGTGATATTTGAAATAATAAAAGCGATACTTCCAATCCATTCTACTTGACTATCTTATCTTAGCTCGTTAATTTTTATATCTGATCGGTTTTAATCTGTTTCAACGTGCAAATCGAGCTTTGATCCTTAGTGGAGTGTTCCAGACGTCTGCCGTCTACGTATGCACACTCAAGGCAATATGTTGTGTATGGTGATCCATGTGGCCATTTGAACTCCTTCCTCATTAACAACCACCTGTTTACCACTGTTGGCAAATGTCCGTTCGGAAAAGCAAGTTCCTTCCATATATTTAAAGAACGTAGTTCATCCCTCTTCGGTTAAGTGACCATCGACATGTAAGTGCCTCCAGGAGGAGTATTTGCGAATCAAAACGTTTCTACTACGGGATATTTTCCAATGATAAAAGAACTCCACCATGGGCGTCTTTGAAGAAATAGTTGCCCAGAATTGAGGAATTTCTTCAGTATTATCCACTGTTATCCCTTTGATGACATTCACCTGTCCAGACAAAACTCTGGGGGAACCAGATGAAAAAATGGAAACGCGCTACTGGTGGGCAGTGGTATATGAGTAGCAAAAGCTTGCTCAGTCTAATATCGCGGTCAACCCAATTGGTTGGTTTACTGTAATAATCCTTCAACGACTGGATGGAATAGCTTCGTTTCTGTAGCATTTAGAGTCTAGGAGTGCGATTAGCTGCTGAGACACCACTTTGCTGGGTAATTGGGCCTCGTCACGTCTTGCGGAAACAGCGTCCTTCGCCTTATGCTTGTAATGCTTGAGTTGGAAGATGAGTGTCACCCTCAGATCAGCGGTCGTCTCTATGTGCCAGCGGCATATGTTCTTGTGAGTGTTCCAGTGGGTGAAAAGTGTATTTCTCCCTCGGTGCCCGTAATGTTCATCATGGATTTAGGTTCAGCTGGTATAGGGTGAAATGGCTGCGTACGAATTCGGCAGTTTTTTCGGTTGGTGATATGTACATTGATTGCCCAATCGTGACAACATATTGCTAACTTGCTGAAACACTAGCAACTTTGCATAATGCGCTCATTTGCATGATAGTTTGTGCGAACAAGAGACGCGTGATGTGATTTAACCCAGTTCACAGTACCAAGGATGCCTCGAGATTTAGCGAGGTCTCAGGTATGTTTCTTTCATAAACATGGATGCACAAATGATTGATGTTGGTTGAGATTTTGCTGGATGCAAGGGACTCGATTTTCTGGGACAAGGACCTTAGGTCTTTCATTCGTTTGGATAACCAGTAAGAGACCTCTTCGAAGGATTATCTAGGATGCAACCACTCAACGGCCCCAAAAAGTAAACCCGTCCGACAAGCACTAAACTGAACAATGCTGAAGGACATTCCTTGACTAGGGAGGAGACAATAGTATGAAACTTCCGCGGTGCGGATGCTTGTTACTTGCTAAATCTGCCAGTAGCCGAAAGTATTTGCATAGTAGCTACCCTTGGAACTGGCCTATTAATGCTCCATTTCGTGCTGACACTAGGGCGATCCAGCGTAATATACCGTGCCCGCGGCTATCACCGATTGTTTACGAAAATGTATCTTTCCAAATTTATACTCCTAAAGCCCTTATTACTCACTCTCTTTCTGGGAGCGCATAATGCCGTAGCGCTCACCTCCCCTAGCTTCACTGTTCATTTTGTCATACACCACCATTTGGCTTCCTATTTATCCACAACGTCCGCGCTTCGTGACTCCGCTCAAGAAAGAATGAATTCAAAATGGGGCTGCTCCACTGAATTGCCGACATTGGTGTGCCCTATAAAGCATGACCTGAATAGCATACGACCCCTCTAAAAAGTACTCATCCACAACCACCTGGCCATCCTCTTTGAGAGATTACTGTATGTAATGTGTGTGTGTGTGTGTAACAGTTAATTGCCACTCTTCGATACTGGTGTATTACCGTCAATGGTGATGATGTGCATGATGGCGAAAAACGTCGATTTTATTCCTGTTTTTGTCACTAACAGTTCGCCTGGTAACACCATCCCATGCAGCCTAATTGACACTCTTGCTCAGCAGGTTTGCTCCTTACGAGTGTCCATTAGTAACATTGTTATTCTCCGGATCTTCCTTGGAAAACACCTGAGTGGTAATGATGGTGACTGTTTTCTCCGTAGACTTCCATCATTACTCAGTCCATAGGTCGGGATGTTTGTGGTGATTTTCCGGAAATTTCCCTAGCCTCCCTTGGATATCACAATAGATTCCGCAAGTTCACCATCTTTTCATTATCCTGGCGCATTGCCTTCGTCCTTTGGCAGGGCAAATGCAAGTGGATACCCAGCGTATTATTCAGTGTTAAAAGCTCAGACGTGGTTAGCTGGGTGGATCAGTGCTATTGTTTGTGCGTTTCTCTTCGTTAAGTACTTTCTCTAGTGGGATAAATTCGCTCTGCCTAAACACTAGTTGAAGTGGCTGCTGGTTTTCAAGCCGGGCTGATCCTCGGTCGGTCTTGAAGACCCCAACGCTCCCAAAGTGATATTCGGATCGACAACAATTGGCAACACGTCTCCCCTCCTAATATGAACATTTCCGTTTTACGAAACTTATGAATTATAAATCTTCTGATGCCATCACTGGATGCACTCGAAACGTTAACTCCAAGGTAGGTCAGTTTGGATAGGGTAAATTTAGTTGCTACGTGGTTACATGCCCCCATTAAATTGAGAGTGATGTACTGTTGAATGTGAACTAATGTTGCTTCCTCTGAACATTTGGTGCTACCGGCATTACATGAATGGAGAATACAGCGGTTCTGGTTAGTTCGCTTCTGTTGAGTGAGCAAACAGTCAAGATATATCGTGTGTTCGAATTTTCGTGGAAACTTGATCGATAGTGGTCAACAATTCATTGAGTTTGTCCTTGTTTGCCCTCGTAGTCGGAAATTAGTTGAAGCAACCGTGACTGAATTTGATTCCTTTGGCTTCAAAACTCTTCTGACGTGAGCGCGGCCGATATTGAATCACGTGTTTAGGCTTCCCGATACAGCACATACTGAGTAGTCTGGTCAATGGAGCCTTGAGTCTACGATTGCAGTTAAAATTATGGATAGGTGAGATGGCGTCCTTTGCGAATTTGCTTGTCACATCGAACGAAACCGGTGAAGCCCCGCGCACAGTGGATTATGCCACATGCGGTTTGCACTGACCCGCGCGTGCAACCAGCTGATTGTCGTGCACGTAGTATTAATGGGGGTAAATCTGGAGAGTGAATAAGAGGGGGCAGTTCTGAAGCGGTCAGACGTTGACTTCAATCATGATCAGTAGGGTACCTGAAGCACCAAGATGCACGACCTCTTCGTGGTAAATACAATGACGAACCCCATCGCAGATTTTTTTCAACTGTGTGCAACACCTTACTTGCTGCCCATTCTACCGCATAAGCCCGAATGTTAAACGAGTCACAAAAAGTAAGTATTTTTATGAACCAGCACAAGGAATTCGATAATAATGTGTAAGTAAGTAATGAGAGCATATACCCTGAAAAATGGCAAAGAGATGGTCGCCAGCCGATGATGATAAATTAATTTATGGAATCATATGTCTGCTTGTGGGGACATGGTTCAACTTGGTGCGGTGATTTGTAACTGGTGATTTTGTTGTAGGTGGGCACTTCGGTCCGTTTGTTGCGTTGTACGATTGTCGTCAAGTTCTTTTACTTCACTGACCTTGGGCTGAAAAACCTGCATTTGATTTGCACTTCCTTTGGCTGACGATTTTGTCAGAGTCGCATTTACCAAACCTTTGGCACTGGCCAACGCTTTTTGTGCGTATTTGGACAAAGTTCGCCGTCCGGCCTTGTGTTTGGCCGTGCAATGCACCCGACGAATCATGTATAACTGCTCTGCATGTTCGTAGTATAAAAGAAAATTGTTGACCAAAATAGGAATCGTGTAGGACATGAGAAGCGTGCCTGTGAGTACACAGACGGTTGCTATGCCATATCCGAATGCCTTAGAAGGCACCAAATCTCCGTATCCCACAGTGGACATCGTGATCAAGGCCCACCAAAAGCCGCGTGGAATATCGTGAAAACTCTCATCGATGAAATAGATAAGAGCACCAAAAAACAAAGCAAATCCAATAATCAAACCCACGATAATAGTCAAATCGACCAAAGTTGTTCTAATTGTATACAATAGGACAATACTACTTCGATGGCGCCGGACGATACGGAATAGTCGAAGCACCACAAACACTTTCAATACCACTATATATTCTTCGATTTTTATCAGCGTACCAAGTATTCCGTTCGTTTCCATTGTTGCCTTTTTCCGTATTAATTCACGAAGGATAAATTCACAGTAGAATGGAATGACTGACAGTACGTCTATCATTGTTTGTAGCGAGAAAAGCCAAGGTCGAATAGCTGGACAAAATATCATGCGCGTCAAGATGTCGATGGTTATGAGAACGGTAAAACCAATATCCATGGAGATGAGTGGAAGGATAGGTAGAGCAAAGTCTTTTTGGTTTGGTTCCTTTGTTGTTGCGTTGAAGTCTGTCGATGGCATTGTCTGGATGATTGGTTCACGAAACTCTTTGCAGGTTGAAATCATAAACACAATCACCGCCGCAATAACTGTCAGTGTCTCGCAGATAGTGTATGTTCGCCGAAACCACCGTACCCAGCTTTCCTCTTCTTGAGACAGGTCTGAGACGGAATGTACAATCGGATGCGGCGGGCAAGCAAAGGAAACTGTGTACGTCTTGTTTGATGATCCGGATTGGCGTACGTTGTCATTGTTTCCTAAGTCTGTAAACTGCTCTATATCAACCTCATCCACATTGCTACCACGTTCGCGTTCTTTGAAAAATGTATAGGAGTCGGTGACGCTGACCGAGCGCCTTGGTTTGGGTTCGGTATTGAACTTTGGTGTTACTGCGAGCGCCGACCACACTTTTGCACGGAAATTTTGCCACCTTGGTGACCTGTAACCGACAGAGGAGGACAGTAGGTCAATAGACAAGCTAGGCAACAGTAAGAGATTGATTAGAATTTTAACCGAATAACCGGACCTGCAGTCCATTAGGGTTCTGGCCCTTCTCCTAAATACCTAGGAAACGCAGAAGGGTACTCTAAACTGTCATGTCATATCTAGCTTCCGCATTTTTGTCCACTTAATTTGATCCGTAATCGACGTGTAATCTGACTAACAAAAGTGCATCGGCACGAAAAAAGACGATTTGTCCAACCAAATCCCTCCAAAATTTTAAATCACGATGAATGAAATCATTATTTGTTAATGAAAGCTCAAGTTGTCCAAAAGGTAAAACAACACCTGAGTCATGCTAATCAGAATGGGATAGGAGGGACATATAAGCTGAAACTAAGTTTACATACTGTTAGGTGCTGATGGGTATTCCATAGGTTGTTGCCAAAATCTTCAGCATAAGAAAGATACGTAACGGTTTACAATTTTTTCTACCGTTTTTGATTTCATAACACTTCCTACAACCGAGTGGGACAGTCATAGTAAGATCAAATATTCCACATAGAGAGTCTATAAGCAACAAATTAGTGGTCATAAACTCACCAAATAAGATTAATCACGGATAGTAGAGGTATGGTCGGTTTATGCCACCCATGATGAGAAAGGTCTTGAGGCCCTCTATAGTAAGCCTACCAGGTACCAAGTGACAAGAAATGAAGAGACAAACAGTCATGTTGCAGGATTGGATTCTGCTGCATTACAACGTGAGCAACCTGACTTGTGATAGTATATGACCGCTTTTCACCGCCCCACCGAATGCTCGTCCTTTATGTCTCCATCGATTATCACTTGACTGTTCGTCATGATATACGAGTGCTTTTTCTGCCCTTATTGGTGACACAATGGTGAATCGTTACATATTCTTGGGGTTTCGACCGATAGGTGAAACACATGCGTTTACACGATTAGGCCTTACGCGTACACAGCGTGTGCAATCCTGGAACGGGTGTAGCAGAAAGGCTGATAACGCTACTGTTGCGGGCACACAAAGTTCAACCTGTTACATCAAACGGGGAGAACTGCGGATCTCAGTGCGGAAACGAGCTCTGACCATGCCGTCGTTGACTGATGTTGACGTTAGGTATGAAACAGACTAATATCGGGAGAATTAATCCGGACCATTTTCTGCTGATCCAAATATCAGCTGAATCGGACCATTGATAAGCATTCCAGTATTGACGCCCGACAACTCCTGCATGAACTTTGGAACTCACCCAGAGGATTCACTCCACCCTCGGATTAAGAACCACCACGTTAGATAGTACTCAGATGAGCTTTATGCAAAAGCGTTTTGTGTATTGCTCTTTACTGGACTTTGAAAGCGAAAAATTGTCCTCACTGTAGCATTTTGCGGAATAGTGGATACATATTTCATCTGTCAAAATTGCCTTGGATGCAAACGAAAAGTTCGAATGGTCATATTACAGAAATCTGATGGCAAAGCCCACTTTTCCTGTATGATAGCACGGGTATTAAGTGTCGGATCGATCACCCTGGGGCTCTGAAAAGTGATCCGTTTGTATGTCCTGTAAAAACTGACTACCAGTCATTCATCCGACTATACTCTTCTAAATTCGACCATTCTGGATTTGTACATCTCATGATCCTTCTTTGCTCATCCGAAAGGTGTACCAGAATGAGTGTCCCGGTTCATTTATGAGGAAAAAAGTTCCTACCCTCATCTTAGTTGAGTCACCATTATTCCCCACCTACCTGATTGGACTTCAGGAAAGACGAGGTTTACAACCTCCTTCAGAGTGCTGTGCGGTGCATGCGTACCCTTACTGACCTCGTGTCTATTCAACTGGCGCAGTTTTCACCGCGGACCGTTAGGTATGCCCTCATTGGGGTTTCGACCGATAGGTGAAACACATGCGTTTACACGATTAGGCCTTACGCGTACACAGCGTGTGCAATCCTGGAACGGGTGTAGCAGAAAGGCTGATAACGCTACTGTTGCGGGCACACAAAGTTCAACCTGTTACATCAAACGGGGAGAACTGCGGATCTCAGTGCGGAAACGAGCTCTGACCATGCCGTCGTTGACTGATGTTGACGTTAGGTATGAAACAGACTAATATCGGGAGAATTAATCCGGACCATTTTCTGCTGATCCAAATATCAGCTGAATCGGACCATTGATAAGCATTCCAGTATTGACGCCCGACAACTCCTGCATGAACTTTGGAACTCACCCAGAGGATTCACTCCACCCTCGGATTAAGAACCACCACGTTAGATAGTACTCAGATGAGCTTTATGCAAAAGCGTTTTGTGTATTGCTCTTTACTGGACTTTGAAAGCGAAAAATTGTCCTCACTGTAGCATTTTGCGGAATAGTGGATACATATTTCATCTGTCAAAATTGCCTTGGATGCAAACGAAAAGTTCGAATGGTCATATTACAGAAATCTGATGGCAAAGCCCACTTTTCCTGTATGATAGCACGGGTATTAAGTGTCGGATCGATCACCCTGGGGCTCTGAAAAGTGATCCGTTTGTATGTCCTGTAAAAACTGACTACCAGTCATTCATCCGACTATACTCTTCTAAATTCGACCATTCTGGATTTGTACATCTCATGATCCTTCTTTGCTCATCCGAAAGGTGTACCAGAATGAGTGTCCCGGTTCATTTATGAGGAAAAAAGTTCCTACCCTCATCTTAGTTGAGTCACCATTATTCCCCACCTACCTGATTGGACTTCAGGAAAGACGAGGTTTACAACCTCCTTCAGAGTGCTGTGCGGTGCATGCGTACCCTTACTGACCTCGTATCTATTCAACTGGCGCAGTTTTCACCGCGGACCGTTAGGTATGCCCTCACTACCCTTGGAAGGAAGAAGGCCTTCGCTGCTGAGTCACTTATTTGGAAATGCCAACTGACCGGTTAGAGACCATTGAACAGGGAAGCAAAACTCTAATTTGCATCTTAGTTACAAAAACTGGACACCCATCTTCTCCCGAACGAGTCTTCTTGAATTTTCCTGGAGATTCATTGACTCCACTCATTCGTCGGTCAAATCCAAGCAGACGTTACAAAGTGGCTCCACGCAAAGCGAAATTCTCAGAACGACACATACTACTCGCATGCCTCCCAGCAGTAGTATCACCGTTACACCCTGTTCACCTCAAACTGTGTTAGCCTATGAATGTAAGTGTGGAAGCATATACGTACGTAGGACAGAAAAGAATTTATCTCTTGAGCTATCTCAGGACCCACCCAATTGGTTGCTCCAGTCAGTCGATAAAGTACGGAGCTCCCCATCACCAAGCATATTCTGGAGCAGCCGATTGAAGTGACACACTATGCTTATTCCGGTTTGTCTATCTTCAAAATAGGGCTTCGCATTAGCGCTGGACAAGATCCGTTGCTAGTTTGATTCCATCTTTGTAAGGACAAACGTATAAAATCCCAGCCTTCACAATCCAGATCTATTCCATCGTCGTCGCCAACCCATCTTGTCTTCATCGGTCCCGTTTCAAACCTCATATTCAACCCCCTTTCTCATGGCGCGAAGACTCTATCATCAATCGCTCACAGCTTCCCACTCAGGTGCCATGATATTTGGTTCTTACACACATTTAATTTGGTGGCACAACAGAGTTGAAGAAGGTACCACAAATCTGTTAAACCGTTGTTTGTTCTTGTGTCGTTCTTCAAGCTAATCAGCAGGGACCGCTGCTTCATATCCCATCTTTGGCTTCCGTATTGTTATAGAAACATTTAGTAGCACCTCATTAGAAAGAAGTGACGATTTACCCTCAAGCCGGATGCGCGTCTCCCAGAATCTTATAAAGATATCATTCTCTCAAATTCAATTTCATCATGATTAACCGTTGAAAACCATGTTTATGGTCAAGATTAGCATATTTTGTGAAACTCACTGATGAGTCTCCTTACAACACGTCTTGTTCTCAAGGTGATATCGCCAAACAAACTTGGGTGTGTGTTTGTGGTTGAGCTATTGTCTGGGTTTGTCGGCACATCTGTGAACGTACGACCTTTTGTGAATTTAACTTTGATCGATATGACGATGACCCGATACGCTTGAGGCTCACGTTATGCAAATTTATCCTTTTCGTTTTACGGAACACACATCAACATTTGTGCATCAGTTCGTATCCTTTCCTGCTCATGCATAAGTTCAAATTTATGCCGCCGTTATTGGAAATCTTTTTTCTTTGAAATCAACCAACGGTTCAAAACAACGAGTAAATCAACCTTATGAGAGGAAAGATGAATAAATGGGTTAGTTGTCTGAATCGAATTCCTCAGCATTTTAGCAGTTAAATCAGCTCAGCAGTGACAGATCGCTCTTATGTGTGTCTACTCACGCGCGCGTGTTGTTTCGCATGGCCTGAAACAACGACAACGAAATTCGTCGCATTAGAAGGCAATAAATGTTTGCAATCTTTTAAGTCAATAGATCAAAACAGATGGAAATATGTTAGAATCGGTTGAAATTATAGAATAAAGTCCCAGGCTACTTCTAATTCATCTCATTTCGACAAAATGCAATAAAAACATGGATTTTATTAGTACCTTCCTGTTTCGCCCTCCTAAAACCAGGAGACACTTTGAAGTCATACGTTTTGCTCGAAAGCATATCCGTACTTCGAAACGTACACTCATTTGCATGTCATTTTGGTTTTCACGTGTGGCTCAAATGAATCTCTCGTTTTTGATATTCTTTAACTGAATGTGCTCCACCAAGTCCAATTCATGTTTCAGTTGGCACGACATCCGAATGTTGCAGTATCCGTACTTCTTCCGTAGGAACAGCATTGTCCTTGAGAACCGGTAAACGACAGCCATCCACAGGAAGCCGGATCCTTTCACGAGGATCTGTTTGTACTGTTAGAATGTTTGACAGTTCTCATGTTGTGGGATCACTTCTGAGGTCCAACTGCAAAAGTAGTTAGCTCTGACGTGCAATCGGTTCCGAAACAGTGCAGAAACAGTGCGGAACACTGGGAACTCTTGCTAGGTGGTAGTGTCTTGTTGTCTTTCCGTGTGACCTATATCTCATTCCG